TATATTTATATATATACATTATATAGATATATATATATGTTTGCACACACACACACACACGCACGTGCACAGGATCTTTGACTTACGATCCGTTCCTACGATGGCATCGTAACCCAAATTTTGACAGAAGTGAGAACACACCTAAATGCAGTATGTGCACATACGTACATAAGCACCGAAGTCACTCACGTATGCGATTGCAGAATGTATAGATGTATTGAAGTCATAATGTAAAACATGACAAGATACTTGTACATGAAAACATAGCTAAGGTTAAAAGAACACTTGGAAGACAAACTGTAAATACTATACATGATTTCTAGTGTCGTATCCACGAAACGTCACAAGTCTAGACCGTCGTAAACCGAGGACCCCCCCTTATATACATATATATTCATACATAAATACGTGTATATATATAAATATGTAAATATGTAATATATATGTGTATATATATTATGTCATATATATTGATATATATTTATATATAATCCAGTATATGAATTATATGTAATTTTATGCATATGTAGATGAACATATATTGATAATGATTCAATATGGTTATTTTATAAGCCTACTTTTCCTCATGCAAGTATGATACCAAGGTAACCTCTTTATTTCCAGGTTGATAAAGATCACAACCCTATGGCACAATACAAGCGACCCACAATAGCAGACAGAGAGGATGATTATCGTGCACATCGTCGATTGCAAGTCATTTCCCCTGAAAGGAATGATCCTTTTGCTGATGGTAGGTTGTAGTTGACCTTGCCACTTCCATTTTCCCTAAGATAATCATGATAGGAAGATGAAGGTATCTGCCTCTCATCTCTTGAGTGTGTTGCTTTCTTATGTGGCTGTGAGCAGTACTTGAGCAGCCTCAGATACAAGGGTTTGTAAGTAAAGTTTCAGCATTTTTTTTTTTTTTTTTTTTTTTTTTTTTTTCTCCCTCCTTAACTGAGATGAATAGATATTTCCTAATCATAAAAAAAATTAAAAGATTTTCGGTAAATATGAGGCTGGCCAAGTATTGATGTATGAATGTTGGTCTGAAAGGACATACTCTTTCTATAAAAATGAGGGGAGTCATTGATTGAATTAATTATGAAAATCTGTTATAAGTTGTTTATTATGCATAGTAACAGTTGTGAGATTGTCACAATGAGAGGTCATAGAAAGGTCATTGTAGGAAAAGGGAACAAACAGTGGCACATGAGTACCAAGAATCCCCACAAAAGCACATCCACAACCTGTCTGCTGCTACTGGATCAGTCCGCCAAGAATCATCACCACTACTAATGTACAATCTGTTTTCTTTCCCCCTGCGGAGTGTACCAGCCGCCTCCTGCGAAGTCTCATCTGAGTCTTGAACGAGCCTCTCAAACACATTGTGAAGAGCTTACGTAAAAGCTATAGAATTAGGTTTTGAATCTTAGGGTCTCTAGTACTACCGAAAAATAAAAAAATTAATGGTAATATTCCTAGAATTTGTATAAATGTATGTAAACATATACACAATATAGATATATATAGATATAGATATATGTTTATGTATAATATATTTATTATATATATACATAAATATATGTATATATATAATATATAATTTATATACCTAAATATATATGATATATATATATATATAATATATA